ATTGTTTAACAAAAAAAATTATGAGAAAATTACATAAATCCTCCTCCCTTTATCCCTTTTAATTTCAGCCATATAAAACCTAACTTACTTTGAAAACCAAGTCTCTTATTTATATGACATATATCATTAATTTACATATTAAACCCTTTATATTTTTTTATTTGCACATTGGCTTCATATATTGTCTTTATATACATATTAACTCTAATATTTTCTTTATTTTCATCCCCCCCTGAAACTCTTTTTTTCTAGTAATTTAATGCTACACCATCTCTTTTTCTCAATCAGTTTTATCCTTATCTCTTTTAATTATAGTTTTCTTGAATTTAAGTATTTTTTTTCTAATTTGAATCTTTTTTAGATTCCATTATCTATTTATTCTAAATTTACACTTATTCGTTATGATTTTTATTGAATCTTACTCCAGTATTTTTGTTTTTTCCTACAACACTTCCAATATATTGTTTTGTTTAAATTTAACATATTAACATTTTATTTTAAATGTTCCAATCTATCACCTTCACCCACAAAGTAAATATGAATTAAATGCATTTAATAAATTATAATTCTTACTATTCATGTGAATTCTATCTAAAGTTTATTACTGCTCTCATATACTAAGATATGAAAAATACTTGAAACTAATAAATAATTGTTTGTTAGATGACATATATACTGAACTAAACTACAAAAGAATTCCTTATGGAGAGATTATTTATATCTATAAAAAAAGCTTACTATCTTAATCAATGATAACAAACAAGTAAATATTGAGTATAACATAAACTATATAAATATATTTAAGTAATAAAAGGAGGGTTCATCATCCTAGATGAATTACTAAAAATGTTTTATATGTTATCAAATAATATTGATTGTGAAATCTTTGACTAAGGTGGAATGATATTTAAAAAAAAATTAAATCTTATTTCAATAATCAATAACTAAAGTGTTAACAACTAAAATGATTTAATAAAACAAACATATTTTATGCTATAATATCTAAATCAGAATATTTTTTATGAAAAGATAATAATTATACTAAGAAATTGGTCACTAAAAGGTTAATCCAAATCACTTATGACTTTTCTAATATTTGGGGGATAATAACAAATTTCTAGACGTTATACTTCATATTTAAATATAAATCAATTGATTGTTGAATTGATAATAAATTAAATTTTTTATTTTATGTAATCTTATTTTATTTAGGATTATGATTTATATTTAGGCCAACTTATTAGAAAACTTAATAGGTTGCGCACATAAGAACCATTAATCATAAATTAATATACAATGATTAATCAAATGTGACTTGATTATAAATAAGTTTTAGAAATTGAAGACTATAATATAACTAATATAGGAGATTACAATTCTAGACCTAGAAATAATCAACTGAGGACATAATTGAATAAATTTCTAAAATTAGCCTAAAATAATATATGTGATATTATTTAAATAGAAAATTGATATATTTTTTTTTCATTTACATGGTTTTTTAGGTTTCTTTGTAAATATAAAGTTATGCTGTTTTATTTTATGTGAGTAAAGTATAATACAAAAACTACTTGAAACACAAAAGAAAAAAGCTAGTACTTTAAGGTATAACAATCTATCTCTTCTAAAAGGGATCAAGATATTTCTCACTAGTGATTCATGTATATCACCATTAAAGACTAGATATTTAAATGTCTTGTGATTTGCGATAACTCAATCTTGAAGTAGTTATTCAAAGCTAAAAAGAATATCTGATCTTTAGATAATCTTTGTATAAACCCAAAAAAAACTCTAAATCTGTATAACAAAATCTTTAAGATTCCCAAAAAAAATTAAAATTGATTATTTCCATTATGTATATGCATTCCAGAAAACCTAAAAGATCATACATCCCCAAGTTGATTTTTAGAGGGGGAAAAGGAAAAAAAAATATTTTTATTTTAAAATAACAAAATTTCAAGATCTAAAGGATATAAACAGTTAAAGATCATATTATCCCAAAATTGGTTATTTGATAAAGAAAAATGAAAAAAAAAATTTATATGAAAATAACTAAGTTTCAACATACAAAAGACTTGACCTATTTAAGGATCATACTATCTCCAGGTTGATCCTTTGGTAAAGAAAACAATAAATATATACTTACACTAAGGAAGGCAACCATATATTTTTCATTATTTTTTATATGAAAACAATAATGTAGTTTATTTTATAACATAAAAACACAAGTTTTTCAATCAACAAACATAAATATCCACACATAAAAATTCCACATCTAGGTCAAAGCATTGCACCTTAGATAATCTTGTTGCTACCTGTCCTCCTAACGTTATTATGGAGTATTGATTTCAACCTCATCACACCTTGAAAAATAAATCTTTATAGATATCATACCCTCGGGGTCACCATACAATAATGCAAACCTTAACACTTGAAGTATTCATCACAATTCATTTACAAATTAATAATATATTAAAATTTATTTACAAAATAATAATTCATTTCGAATTCAAAAATGACATTCATGATTTGTTTGAGTTGATTAGAATTTATTGGAAACTAACTTGAACAATGGAGACATGTAATTGCCACACTTGGATGTATGACACGGATTGTAGAGAATAATCACATATTTTGATGAAAGGAAAAAACATGTGAGTTGATAGACCAAATACGCCTCATTTCCCTCGTCTTGTTTACACAAATGGTGTAGCTCACCATTGCTCAAGGTGGGAGATCAATGTCAAGTTTTGGATTATTTGCTTTATTCTCTTTATGGATTATGCTATTGTTGTTGTCTACCATTATTTGTTTCAGGTGAAGAGAAAAAAAGGATTATAGTGGTTTTTAATGAGTAGTGGTTATAATGTGAATAATTCCTATCGATGGTGATGATTGACATGGAAGATAGGTTGTTGCGATGATGGGTTAGATGGTGCTTTTAATCATGAAAATGGCTATTATGAAAGTTAAGAGAGGTTTATGAAGTTTTTACGTTATTGTCATAGATTGATGGGAAAATAAGGTAAGGGTGGTGATTTGGTTTTATTTAGAGTGAGTTTGTTTTGATATTTCTTTCTTTCTTTTTTTTTCAAAAAAAGAAGAAATTATAAAGAAATATTTTTAGAAAGAGTTTGTTTTTTTTTCCATTTTTTTCCTTTGTCCCTTTTTCTTTTTAGGTCTATATTTCTTCATGATTGACTGATTTTGGGTATTTCTAATATATATTTTTTTTGTACACCCTGGACCTTAATTTATAGTGTTGGTTCCTATTAAATTGAAAAAAATAAAATATAGGAAAATTTTTATATTTTTTCATTCTTAAATAAGGATCTCTAATTTAAAAATTTTTAATTCATAAATTATTTTTTCTCCCCTACTTATAAGTGCAAAATCTCTTCCAACATTGTTTAAGGTTTTGCCTTACCCTTTATTTTATGAAAGATGATCCTTATTTTTTTTTAATTTATGTGATCTTCCATTATATTATTTATTTTATTAAATATGTCTAACTTATTTTTGGTATTTATAGTGTGTTTTTCTTTTATATACTTGAGACCCTATTTTATAGTGTGAGGGAAAAATTAGAAAAATATAAAAAATACATAAATTTTTATATTCTTTCTTTTTTGAACTAGGATCTCTAATATGAAAATTTTATGATCAAAGCTTTTCTTATTCTTGCAACCCTTTTTCTATATTTTTTCTAGTTTAGCTTGAATCTTTATTGAAAGAAAGATAATCCTTATTTATATATATATATTTTTTATTTATGTGATCTTCCATTATATTATTTGATCTTTGATCCCCTTTTCTTCCTTGTTCATCATTTCACCACCTAATATATTTTTTTTAAAAAAAAATTTACATGAAAAAAAATAAACAAAAGTATCAAAAGTCATGAAATTATCATTTTATTTTTGTAAATTGAATTGGCATACATAATCAATCCCTTATTATACACGCACTAGTTTACAAGCTTGCATAACGCTACAAAGTCAGATCATAATTCTTTTAAACATAAAAAAAGAATGTTTAGATTGTAAGAAACTATTTAACAATGTTATTAAATTTGACACAATGGATCAACATTGAAACCTCTCAACTCGACTTCAAAAGTTTAAAACTAAATCATGTGGGAGTTTCTTCGACATGACTTAGTAGACTTGACAAATGCAGCAGCAACCCAAATAACAAGTAAAAAAACATGGTTTAATTTAAAAAAAGAAGATTTAAGATAATATTTTTTTAATATTAAGACAGTAACATATTAGATCAACTCGAACATCATAGGTTAACCCATCAAATCCACGACTCGAGTCATGTACTTCACCAGGTTTGATCATAGCTCGAGTTTAAAATTAACTTGATTGACGTAACTTGATAGACTTAGCAAGTTTTAAAACAACTCAAATGATAAGTAAAAAAAATATAGTTTGACTTTAAAAAATATTCAAGATGATATTTATAGTTTGACTTTAAAAAATATTCAAGAAAAATATTCAAGATGATATTTTTTTTATAAATAGTAAGATAACAATATATTATATTAACCCAGGGTTTTTAGCTTAATTTAACTCACAATCCAGATTATAGACTCTACTAAGTGTCATAACTTATTAAAAAAATTATTTTTTATTTAGTTATATAATATAAAAATTATACACTCATAAAATTAAGTAAAAACTAAATATTAAAATATTTGTTTGAAACTATAATAATTTTATATAAAATCAACCAAAATAAGTTATAAAAATCAATTTAAAATTAATCAAATATTAAAATGAAAAGAAGACTCAATTCAAATATAATATTAAAAGAAAAAAAATAAAAAATAAAAAATATATATATGAGAAAAATAATTAAAAAAAAGATAAAAAAAAAAGAAAAAAGAAAAAGAAGCCATGTCAAGCGCGAGAATCTGGGCCTTAGAAAAAGCCTTTATTCAAATGACATGACAAAACAAATAAAAGGGGGAATTAACAATAATAAAGTAGGGAGGAAAGGAAGGTAAAACGATGCGTACGAGGACGAAAGGAGTAGCAGTTGATATAAGAGGTAGAGGAAAAGAAAAGAAAAACAAAAGAGGTTAGTTTGAGATACTGTGGCACGTGCAAATTTCCAACTGCGTGTGTGGTTCTCTTACTCTCTCTCTCTCTCTCTCTCTCGCTCTCTCTCTCGCTGCTGTATCCAGAAGAGATCCTTCGCATTGTGGAGTTGTAGTTTGTTTCTGTATTTGGAAACAAAAGGAGGAGGAAGAAGAGGTTGAAGAGGAGATGCGGTGCACAACGATAATAATAATGGCTTGTTGAAGTTTTTAGTAATGTGAATGATTCGTTGATTGCGATGAAAGGAAAAACCCTGAAATTTGAATCCGACTGACTGACATTGCACAGCAGCAGCAGCAGCAATTAGATTAGACTAGACTAGATAGGAGAGGTGACAGGAAGAAAGGACAGAAGAGAATCTCCTCGGACGGAGAGTAGGGAGGGAGGAAGGAAGTAGGAGATGAAAGGCTATCATAATAATCACAATCAAGGGAAAAGGCGATGGAGATGTCTGGTAATAGGAGTGCTATTTCTGGTGCTGCTTTCAATGCTCGTTCCTCTCGTCTTTTTGCTCGGCCTTTACCACAACGGCTTTCACTCCACCGGTAACTCTTTTCAATATCAACATCTCTCTTTCTCCCTCAGATCCAGATTTTTTTTATTATTTAATTTTAATTTCGAATCGAACTGATGCATAATACACACGCACTTTACTTTTTACTAAACATACGGCAACCAGATCTCTTTCTATTTCCCGTTAAATCAAATCAATTGCTCCATCATGTCATTTTGTCTTCCTCCGCAGGACACCCCTCTGATCCACAAACTTCTTCTTCTGCTTCGTATGTATGTATTTCTTCTATTCAAACTTACTATTTTAGTTTAATTTAATTATTAGGGTTTTCATTGATATTACCTTTTATTTTCCCCCATATTTGTTTGAATATTGTTTTCATTTGACGGACTGATTTTATTTTTATTTGTATGTTACTGTAGACAGATCAGTCAAACCACGTGAAGCAACTTATTGAGAATTTTGCGCCAACTCTTCCTAATATTCATCAAGTAATGTCCTTTAGATTTATTTTTTTCCTTGCTAAACTTTGGAACCATGCTCCCATTTATGACCCGCCTTGGTCTGCTTGAAAACTGCTTTGCACTCTACTTGTGGAACTTTATTGAGACTGGTAGTTGTTCGGGTTGGCTTCTGAACATGTAATGGATTCAACTTTAGGTGGTTTAACCTCTCATTGCATTTTTATAGATTATCTAGTAATATTTATGTAGAGGACATAATTCTGTTTCCATACATTTCTTTTAGCTTTCAGATCGGTTCCTGTTCTCTATTATGCTTGTCCTCCTAGAATATCTCATTATTCATATTAGTGTAAGCTTGATGCATTTTGTTACCTATTTCACGTTTGTTCCCCTTATTCAAGTTCAATGGCACTAAAAAAGTTGATATTTCAGTTTTGTTAAATCAAGAGGTCTGCAGTTCTACCAAAGTAGTTTGGATGAGAAGAAATTTTTTTTAGCAGGGATATACTTTAGAAGAGCTCGAGAGACTGTTTAGATAATCTTTTGAAAAACAGTGGTGGAAGCTAAAAATGGATGTGTGTATTTTCTGCCCTATGTCATGATATAGGCAAACTTTGGGTAGCAGAATAGATGCTAGTCTTGTAGTGATTTATTTGGAAGTTGGATTAGGGATCAAAGTGAGCAGACTAGAGATTGATTAGCAAATGTTTCATAGTGGGATAAAATTTTCAAACCTAGAATTTTGTTTTGTTAGTGGAATCAGCCTATGAAAATTTGATAAACATATGACCTGATTTAAACTTATTAACTTTTTTAGCTTAACTACAGGTATCTAAATCTGTTTTTAATCCACTGTTTTTCTTTTATTTTGTATTTTATCCCAGGTTATAAACTTTACAAGTGGAGCAGATAATAAGACCACAAGTTCAGGTTCTATTCATGGTAGTCAATGACACGAAGATCTTGTTGAGCTCTTTTCTCTAAAGTTTCTTTTATAATTGTTGATGCCCTATTATATGACTTAATGTTAAAAAAAGGCTTATTCTCCTTTCCAATGACTAACAGGTACTCCTGTGGTACCCCCAGCTGCACCTCAACCACCTCTCAGGAGAAATGTACGTATGCACACATCAGAGTGTTTTCCTGAAAAAGTTATTCATTTTGTAATGCTTTTAAAGCCTCAAGAGCTTTTTTTTAATATGCTGTGGCAGAATGCTGTAACTATTGGTACAGATGAAATCACCAAGCACAAAAGAAGTGCATTTGAGGAAAGTGAAAAATGTGAGCTCAGATATGGAGGCTATTGCCATTGGTGTGATGAGCATAGAGAAAGTATGAAGGATTTTATGGTGAATAAATTGAAGGACCAGCTTTTTGTGGCTAGAGCATATTATCCTACTATTGCAAAGCTTCTATCTCAAGAGAAGTTAACTAATGAAATGAGACAAAATATTCAAGAACTGGAGCGTATTCTTAGTGAAAGCTCAACAGATGCTGATCTTCCACCACAGTAAGTCACTTTAAGTTTCATATGACTTTTATCTTCCATTAGCGTGACTTCAATGATGTGAGGAAGTAAAGATATCCATTCTTACCATTTTTTATCCATCATTATTTCCATTTTAAGTACATAATAAACATCATCTAGTGGAATGAAGCTTATTATGTGAAGCTAAATGTCTCAATCCATACAACAAAGGATGTTTGTTGACTCTTCCATTGCTGCTTGTCTCCTACTGGTATTAGAAGTATCAGATCATTATTCTTTGTTCTTCCTGGACATCAGACTGTGCCTGTTTTATGCAAAATTAGTGTTTTCCACATTTTCTTGGCTCATAGAAATTTATGTCTGTGTTCCTATCTGTTCTTGACTCCTCTTTAACATGTTTTTCCTTCACTAGCAAAGTACATATTGTACGTATGGTTCTACTCTTTAGCATTACTGGCTTCCTGATTGTCTATAATAAAATTGTAGCGCCAGCAGTAAGCATTTGGGATGTCATGAACATGTGCATGGAGTTAATGTTTTGAGACTGGGACAAGCACCGGGGGTTCTTACTGTTTGTGCACATGTGGAGCTGCTGATGTTCCTTGTCCTAAATATGGGTGCTTAAGGCTGTGTCCATTCTCACCAATGGTTATCATTCCTTCTTGAAAAGCTTTAGCCATATGCTTTTGGGGGGCTTGGTTGCCATTGGGTTCAAGTTTGTCCTGTAGCATCATGTTGTGGTCAATGCCAGATGTAATCCATAGCAGTACCCAAAAAGCTTCCATCCCGTGGCACATTTATCCACTTTTCTTTCATTTTTTGGGTTTTAGTTCTTACATCTTGATGCAGCCTATGGATTTAACTCTGAAAGTACGTGAATATTTAAGCAAGGCAAGTTTGTGATATCAGTAAAGTTTTTTGAAAGATCAGTGATAGCTATGTGTAGGAAATATAAAGTCTCACTCCCTGTCATTTCTCACCTGGTTAATTGGAATTTTATGTCTTATATCCTAGTCCTTTAGGAAAAGGAATATTTCAAGCTTATAAACATGCTTGTATTCTGTCAAAACTAGCAGAGACTTGTAAAAATAGGTGTAGCCTATTGATTTATGCTTATTGAGAGTGTGATGGAACTTTCATTTGAGGATCAATGATTCCATGATCCTTACTATTTGATGCTTAGGTTTTCATTCAAGGAGTGGTTCCTTGAACCTACTGGTGTCAGAGTAGTAGTTTTCCTCCTTTTTTCCCCTTTTTTCTGCATAATCAAACCTGTGTTCAATTTCCAAGTCCCAAATCTCCAAACTCCACAACCTAACCCAAACAATAAGTATCTGCTAGTCCTGCTCCACATTTTTAGCAGCAATGACATAGAGAGGAGAGAAAAAGGCAAGAAACGTAGGGTCTACAAAACACTTTATGTCAAACAATACTACAAATGCTGAAGCAGAAGTTGATAAAGATCTGTTGAGCTTGTTGTTCCAGGAAGGTGCTGGTGTTCTCACACATGTTGCTATATGGCCTCATTGTTGCTTGCTTTCTCCTTTGATGTGGGCTGTCACTCTTTCTTAATTTATCTTTGCTAGTGTAACAGATACTGCTTAACAAATTTACATCCTGCTCAAGCACACTAATTTACCTGTTTCATCAGAATTCAGAAGAAATTACAGAAGATGGAAAATGTGATATCTAAAGCTAAAACATTCCCTGTGGATTGTAATAACATTGACAAGAAATTGAGGCAGATACTTGATCTAACTGAGGAAGAAACTAATTTTCACATGAAGCAGAGTGCTTTCCTTTATCAACTTGCAGTGCAGACCATGCCAAAGGGTCTCCACTGCCTCTCTATGAGACTGCTCGTGGAATATTTTAAATCTTCTGTACATGATAAGGAGCTCCCTCTGTCTGAAAGATATTCAAATCCATCATTGCAACACTATGTTATATTCTCCACAAACATACTTGCTGCTTCAGTTGTAATCAACTCCACTGCTGTGCACGCAAGAGTACGTTGCAAGTATTCTCCCATGCACTCCTTAATTTTTTAAAAATTGAATTCCAGTTATCTAATTGTTGACCTTCATGCTTCAGGAAAGTGGGAATCTGGTTTTTCATGTTCTGACTGATGGACTGAATTATTTTGCAATGAAACTATGGTTCCTAAGAAATACTTACAAGGAAGCTGCTGTCCAAGTTTTGAATGTTGAAAATGTTACCCTGAAATATCATGATAAGGAGGCTCTGAAAAGCATGTCACTGCCTGTGGAGTATCGTGTGTCTTTCCATACTGTTAATAATCCACCAGCCACTCATTTAAGAACAGAATATGTATCTGTCTTTTCTCATGCTCACTATCTCATTCCTAGTATATTTGAGAATTTGAAGAGAGTTGTAGTTCTGGATGATGATGTTGTAGTCCAGCGGGACTTGTCTGACCTATGGAACATCGACATGGGAGGGAAAGTAAATGGCGCTTTACAGTTATGTTCAGTGCAGTTGGGTCAGCTAAGAAATTTTCTGGGAAAAGGCAGTTTTGATGAAAACTCTTGTGCTTGGATGTCTGGATTAAATGTTATTGATCTGGTTAGGTGGAGAGAGCTAGATCTTACTAAAACTTATTGGAAGCTGGGACAAGAGGTGAGTGATTTAACGCTGCGTAATATGTTTTATGAGAAATTACTTTTGTGAGTATTTTGTTGTTTGGCAGTTCTAATCATATATGAGGAAACTAGCTGCATAGTATCATATGAGATGGTAAACCAACCCTCCTTTGACCTAATGCATCCACCATAGAGCTATAGCAACTTTGGCAAAAGGATTTGGTTGACCAGTATGATTTCTGTGATTTCTAATCGTATCCAAGGAAATTATCTGTACAGTGAAATATGAAACCTTAATCCTATGCATCACACCACAGTGCTTTAACAACCTTGGCAAAAGGATTTTTGTTGACCAGTATGATTTATGTATTATATCGAATATTTTAGTTATTATAATGAGATTTGACCCTTTACATCTCATTTGTTTTCCTACGTTGCAAACATGGAAAACCAGGTAAGCAAGGGAACAGGATCTGCTGAAGCCGTTGCATTGAGCGCAAGCTTGCTTACGTTTCAAGGCCTAGTATATCCTCTTGATGGTGTATGGGCTTTGTCTGGACTGGGTCATGACTATGGGATTGATGTCCAAGCCATTAAGAAGGCTGCAGTGTTGCACTTTAATGGACAAATGAAACCATGGCTTGAGCTAGGAATCCCAAAGTATAAACAGTACTGGAAGAGGTTTCTAAACCGAGATGATCTATTCTTGGGTGAGTGCAATGTGAATCCATAATAACCCAGTGGTCTGATCACAGTGTGAGTGCAAAGTGATTCCATAATAAGCCAGTGGTCTAATCACAGTCGTAGTTTGTGGAGAACATTCAGGAAGCATGAATTTCCAGATGTTTGTTAAATGATGCTCGTAATTTTTCTGAGCTTAAATTCCAGAAAGATATTGGGTTGCAACAAATTATAGCCTTCTGTTTTTTTGGTAAATAAATGGACGAATATTTTTTGAAGTTTCTAGCAAGCAGAAGGGAGTGGACACTTTGGGGGCAGCTCTAGTTGCCAGGAATGGAGAATTTGGAATATGAAATGCAATTTATTGGACATTGTAAGAGCTGCTCTGCTTCTTATTTGTTAAGTTGTACGTGGGAGTCAAATGCTTGGCAATATTACTGTACACGAAAAGGGCCCAGATGTATGCTAATTTCAAGAAGATTGGAATAGCCATTTGTTTTGTAAACGGTGGTCGAGAAAGCAGGTTGTCTTGTGCCCATCAAAGTAAGTTGTTCTTTTCTCAAGTTGTTTGTTGCTTGATTTAGAAGTGCGATTAATTAATTGTGATGAGAAAATTAGAGGGATGATTTTTATTTATTTTTTTAGCTTTTTGTATCGATATTTCTCTTCATGTATTAACTGAATTGGCATTGCCGAAACTGTAGCTTGTCAATTGAGGACCTGGCATGTAATTGGACATTGCTTAGTGTCGGCAACAAATATTTCAGATACCAAGCATTCTTGTTACTGTGCTGACATAAACTTTCTTAAATTCCTAAGGCAGAGTGAGCATGGTATAGTAATATATCAACTTCATAGGGATGCTCCCAAAACCCAGAAGTTGGAGGATGACAGATTGGCTATAAAGTGTCTCCTGCGTAAATTCTTCTTTATCTTGTGATGTGATTGACTGGTATGCTAGAAAGTTTGCGTTTCCATGCCAAAAGTGGATGCACAAAGTTGTGAATGCCAGTAGTTGGAGACTGAATAAGACAGTTGCAATTGAGAAGAACAGGTATACAAGATAGATGACTGTTTAAGATGCAATGGTTATGGGTACATTACAATTACACTTAGAAATTACATTACAAATAAAATAAATAAATAAACCCGATGGGTGTGGGGGTTTCACTGTGGAGGTAGGGAGAAAACACTGGATTGTAATAATGTTTCATGGTGTTTTCTTTCTTTTTTTGGCCCTTTAGGATTTTTTATTTTGGTCTTTTAATGTCTTTTCTTCTATTTGTTCCTTTGATGATGTTTTTATTTGGGATTATGCATACTAGTTTGTTTTAGCTGCCTGGGTTAGGAGATCTTGCGGTGTCAAAAAAAAAATGCATAGCTAGATTGATACTTGGTGTGGCAAAATTAAATGAAAATTTATTGATATAAATAACATAATTAAATCTATGGGATTGAATTTGAATAATAGACAAATGTAAAATTTTTTTTTCTTGCTAAAATGAGAGACTAAAATGCACGGGGAAAAGGTTCAGATTTTTGTTTTTGTCATGATTTTTTTTTCTTTCAATTCAATCCTTTTACATGGAGTATATTTAGGATTAAGGTTAATATATATTTTTGTTGCCTGCATATGAATATTGCAATGTTTAGTATATGTGATTGATGTTTAATTTTACAAAATAAAAATTGATTTTATTGAGGCTTGAAGGATTAATTTTAATTTGAAAAAAATACAAAGGATCAAATTTTAAATTAAAAATAATTAAAGCTTTCACATAAAAAAAATTATTGGTATATGCATTTCATTCACCATAATGTTAAGGAAACTATTGTGTTCTGGTGGCATTAGCGGCTGCCACTTTCCTTGGTAATGTTGAAAGGGCGGCACCCGTAATTGATAGAGGTGCGTAATGACTCCTATTTTATTTTTTTTTCCCTTCTCCTATCTTATCTTTCTCATCTCTTAGTTTTCTGCCCTCTCTCTCTTAGAAAGCAAGAGGTCCTATCATTTTATATTTATCTCAAAAGTAGTTTTTAATTTATTGTTAATTTTTTTTAGATTTTTTTATTAAATATTTTTTTTAATTTTATTACTTGTTATTAGGTTGATTGATAACTGGTCTTCATAATTTTTTTTTAACATTATCTTTCCAAGGGCTTGAAATGATAACTTTAGTTGACTTCAGTTTTTTATGTTATTTTTTAAAATTGATTTTCCTTTTAATTTTATTTTTTAACATCGGAGATCAAGCTTTGTAAATTTTTTTTTTATGAGGTTATCTTTGTTTTATTATTTAGATTACAAGTTTGTCAAGTTATTTTTAATTGACTCTGGGTTTCTTTTTTGTCATAAAAAGATTTTTTTATTCAATTTTATTCTTCAATAATAAGTTTATCTCAAAATTGAGCTTTATAATTTTTTTTTAATTTAATTTCTGTAAGGCTATATTAATCTTATGACTTGAATTATAAGTTTGGTAGATTTACTTCAAGTGATTCAAGTTGATTTTTTTATTCTTTTTAAATTATTATTTTTTTAATTTTATACTTCAAGATTGGTTCGGTTAGGAATTAAGCTTCATATTTTTATTTTTATTTTTATTTTGTTTTAATGGTGTTATTTCATTTTCACGGGTCAGGGTGTGTGTTTGGCAATTTAACTCATTTAACATGAGTTGACTCGAGTTTTTTATCCTTTTTATTAATGAGATGTTTTTTTTTCATTTCGCCCTTCATCATTTTGTTGATTAGTTTTTTTTTTTATTATTATTTTTAGATGACTTAAAAGTTTGTTTTAGATATTATTTTATTAAATGTGATTATAGACTTTTTCATAATATTGGCAAAATATTTTTTTTATAGAATTGGCATTGATATAATTTTTTTAATATACTATTATTACACTTTTTTTAGTCATGTTATTCAATTAACCAAGCTCATTGAACCTCATCGAGTGTATGACTTAAGTTTCTAATTTTTCTTCTAAAAATTCTTGTTTTAAGTTTAAAAAATGGACTCAGAACATAACATGATCACCAATCTAGCAATAAGTTATCAAATGTGTAAAGGGTATGATTTGGTTTTAATAGTGTGATATTAATGTGATGGTATAGTGATTGAGTTTTATCGGTTGTGATGATAGTTGGTGTAATTAAGGTTGTTAATTTCATTATGTCCTGTTTGGAATAACCAATATATCTCATATCATTTTAAAAAATAGAATAACTCAAAACAAATTTCATCTCGCTCTGAATTTCAAACCATTCTAAATTTCTTAGCCAAATTCTAAACGAGATGTTTCAGTTTCATTTTGTCTGTTATGTTTTATGAAGTGTTTTTTTAGAAAAAATCTATGTTTTTTCTCTAATGTTATACTTTAACACTTGGTTTATTGGAGATTGAACTTCATAATTTGTTGTGGTTTGTTTTCTTTGTGGTTACCTTAGTCTTATTACCTATGTCATAGATTTGATGGGTTAACACAATTGACTTGAGTTTTTTTTTCTAGTTGCTAATTAATTTTTTGGTAGTTTCATCATTCAACATCCTCAACATTTGGTTGATTATGAATTAGGTTTTGTCATTTATTTTAGTTTGTTTTCTATAAAATTATCTTAGTCTCATGAATTAATTATGAGTTTTGCTAGTTAACATGGATAGACTTGGGTCGTTTTATTATGTTCTTTTTTTAGATTAATTTCTTTCTAATTTCATTATTCAACAATAAATTTATTGAGAATTGAGTTTCATAATTTGTTTTGATTTGGTTTATCTGGGATTATCATGGTATCATGACTCGAGTCATGATATGGAAAGTTAACCCAAATTAATCTGATATGTTGTTGTCTTAATATTTTTTTTTTAAATATCATCTTGAATTTTTTTCAGTTAAACAATATTGTTATCAGTTATTCAGGTTGTCTTCGGACCTGTTTAGTCAATCGAGTCATAGTGGGTTGAGTCCTACACAGTTTAAATTTATTTTTCACTAGAAAAATAATAGTTATGCTTGGATGTTTCTTTTTATATTAAAAAAATTAATCTGACCTACAACATAGCGTGAGTTAATAATCTAGTAATTATTAAATATAAATGTTTAAATTTTAAAACTATGTTTAAATACTTAACATTGTGTTTGAAATTTAAATTGTTTAATTTCAAGTTAATTTATCTTTAAATTTAAATTGAAATTATATATGTTGAATTAGTATTTTGAATTTTTCTTATATATATACTACAACCTAAAATGGCATGTTAAAATACTTTAAAATTAAAATATAAAATGCGAAATGAAAAAAACTTTAGGTGTAATAGGGTAACAATGTAGGATAAGTATTGGTGCATTTCTACTTCAAAGTCTTAATCAAGCTCTAATATCATATAGGTTAATGGACTCAAGACTAATCATGTTGAAAAGTAGTTAAACTTAGGTTGTTTTATAGGTTATGATTTATCATTTTTGATTTGATTTTCATCTAAAAAACAATAAAATTAATTTTTCCATTGAAATATGATGTGTTCATCAAAACTAAACACACATGCTTTCTTGAAAGATAGAGCAATGCAACATTAATTATCGGAAAAAGTTTAAAGAATATCTCACTTACTATGCATAGTAGTTAAAACTTAAGACTCTTTAGTACACATATTGAGTTTATATTATCTTTCCATTGAAATATGAACGGACACAAAGTGGAAGAAAAACCTTACTACCAAACCTCATAAATGTCTTATTGCCATTTTGTTACTCAGTACTCACATGTGAGTGCTGCTGCTCTAACAATTAATTAATTAAGAAAACTCCACATTAATCCAGTGGTCCTAATCCAATAATTTTCAAGACTATATTTTCCCAATACCATATCTAAGATTAGATGCAAGGGAAACCTTGATCCAACTGAATTTCACCAAATCCTTCAGTTCCGTATTAAGCCAATGTACTTCTCTCTTTTTCTACCGTTTTACCTTCTACGAAGTTCAAAAGGGTTTTCGGAGGCCTAGGCAGGTACAAATTGAGAGAGAGATTCCACAGAGTGAAAAAGACATTTAGCCCAATTAGAGCCAGCCCAAAAGAATATGATTATCCTAATGAGAGATTAGAAATAGCATGGCAGTGTATTAGTACAGAAGTCTTTTCTAATGACATCCCATATTATTAGGTGGCACAGATATACTGCCCTCGTCGCCCCGCCCCCCCTCCCTCATTTTCATGATATATTTAATCTGTGTGGGAATTCAATGCTTTTTTTTCTTTTTTTTTTAACTTAGCTTGTATGCATAAACGAGGGTAACTAGGATTATACACAAAGGGAAATTGATGGGAAGAAAAATTGCATCTGCTTTACATGACTAACAAAAACTTTGCAAACTCTTATATCCATAGTCCAAAGAAAGGAAAAGGGATAGAAAGAAAGAAAGAAAGAAAATAGACAAAACACAAATCCCCTAGTGAACCAATGGGATGGAAACGAAAAGGAGGGCTTTTAATTCATGCTCTATGGTAACATCGAAAAGTAGGCAACCAGGACCAGCTATGGCTAGACTGTGACAAAGCGATGGTGGTGGTGGTGGTGGTTGATGGTGGTGGTAGCAGTTTCAATGCTCATATGGAAAGGTCTCCAGGCTGAAGCAGTGAGCAAGCAAAGGTCTTTCCACCCAAGCTTGAGGGTGCCCTTATCCTCTGCTAACGTATAACCATCAGAGGGAAACATGCCAAGTAGCAGATTGGCCTGGTTAGCAGCATTTCCAGCAAGAGAGATGCATTTGAACCCAGACTGTTGAAG